TCGCCCTCGGCCAGCGCTGTGGACCAGCTCAGTTCGTCCAGCTGCTGCCGCAGGCTGCGCGCCTCCTCGGCGAAGCGCGCCTGGTCCTCGATCCAGAGGTTCTCGCGGCTCAGCCGGCTGCGCAGCTCCTCCTCCAGCAGCAGGTTCTCGCGCTCCAGCTCCCGCACCCGGCACACGTAGTCATAAAGGCGAGCATTGAGCTCCTGAAGCTCGGCCTTTTCGGAGCCCGTCTGCAGCCGCCAGGACAGCATTTTGTTGGTTGTGCGGGGCTCTTTTCGATTAACCGCTTGCCTCCTGCCCTGATCTTGTCCCCTCCCGCCGCGCCGCGCCCGCCGTGCCGCTGCCTCGGAGGCCCTCAGACTGGCGCTCTAGCTGGCGAGTTTCGCCACTTAGTGGCCGGGTCGTGAGGTGATAGACTAGGGCCACGGGTTCCAGCCAATCAGAAAGCGGCCCGTGCGGTCACTGCGGCCGGACAGCGCCCCCTGCCGGGAAGATTGAGGCATGGCGTGACTGCCCAGTTCTGACCCCTGGTGGCCCAGAGTGTTGTATTACTGCATGCTGGCTATCTGAAACACTTTACAGGGCTCCCTGTTAACCCTCGGGCACACCTGAGACACCCCCAAGTCCCAGATTTTCTTAATGAAAAATAAGTTGCCATTAAGTGAAACATGCCAAGTACCGGTGACAGGCCTTAACAAATAGGATGCTTCTCCGGGGGGGGGGGGGGGGGGGGCAGACTGTGGTGTAGCCTTTAAACACAAACTAGGTTTGTAGCTCAATGATAAAGTGCTTGCCTAGCGTGCACCAGGCTCAGGTATCAATACCCACCTCAGAAAACTGTGTACATGTATATTGCATATCTACAGATACATATATACACGTGTATCTCTTTTCAGGATAACATCATTTTAGTGCTTTTAAGAGTTTGTTTTTATCTTTTTATGTGTATGAGTGCTTCGCTTGCGTGTATGTATGTGCACCACTTCCGTGCCTGGTGCCCACAGAGATAGAAAAGAGAGTCAGATCCTCCTGAAACTGGAGTAAAAGGCAGTTGTAAGCCAAAACGTAGGTGCTGCAACGGAACCCACGCCCTCTCCTGCCCGTGCTCTTAACCACTGGGCCATCTATCTCCCCAGCCCTACATGCGAATCTTTTAACTTCTGGCATGAAAGCATCTCCACTTGCCAACATTTTATGTTCAAGTAAAAAGAGTTCATATTCGTGCAGAGTGGTAAACCCTGCTTCCTTCTTACTTGCACAAGCCACCTTTATGGGATTGTGTGCTTTGCAATATCAGTTCATTCTGGTGGAGGAAGGACGCAGAAAAAACTTTGAAGTACTCTAAGCACAGAACATTCCAGACACCTACCATCTCTCCAAACGTTTGCAACTGCCTGATACACACCCCCACTGTGACAGCCAGTTTTCTTTTCTTTCAACAGTGTGCCCTTAAGAAACACTCAGCTTAATTACCATAGAAACCACTGCTCTCTCTGTTTTTTTTTTTCATAGTTTCATTTCATTACATTACAGGGCAGTTATTTAAGTTACAAATGACAGTAACCAAACTCAGTAGCATTAAGGAGTTCAGGAATAAGCTCAACTGCATAGGTACAAGAGCACAAAGAGGTCTGGAGAAGTCACCTAGCGGCCACGGAGCTTTTCTCAGCAAGGCCACCAGTCAGTGATATTTTCAGGAGCATGGGGAAATGGGTTGCTCTAGGTCACTTGAAGTCACCCACAAACAACTGCAGAAAGTGGACCTTTGTTTCTCTAAAGACCCCATCTCCAAGGTGCCATTCTGCAGGGGATAGAAATGAATGTATCAAGTGGATGTGCTTGGAATTCCTCTCTTTTTCTGCTGAGGTTAAGTGGGCATGGAGGGTGGGTGTATTCAGCACCAAGGCATTAGGCTGGGAGCCCTAGACCCCTGTTCTTACCTCTTCTTACATTCACATCAGGGACATATCGGCACTTGATCACTGATACTCGTCACCAGACCTGCCTGCTTATACCCACTCTGAGCATCTTCTCCTTGGTCACCCCACGACAGCAGACCATCACAGGGCAGCTTCAGAGTCACCTGGACTCAGCTGGAATCATTCACTCTCAGCACTTTGAATGCCCACACTTCCAGAGGCATTAGGGGACAATAGGAAGGGGACAGCTCTGCCTGGGAGTGGGGAGCCTTCAGAGACATCTGTAGGCCTCCTAAGAGATTGCTCCTGGGTTTTTCTTGCTCCCTATGCCCCCCAGAGTCTTGGATTTTGAAACTCAAAACTTCCTCTCTCTTCTGCTGTAAACCTGTCTTGGAGGAAATGACTGCTCCTCCAGGGTATAGCTTAGCAAAAGAACAAGCATGTGCCACTGGGAATATTGCAAAACAACGTCCCATTGATCACACACAATCCTCACAGAGCTGAGACTTGGAGGCATGGACTAACTTCCCTAAATACATGGCTGCAAAATGTGGGAAGGAGCAAGCATATTAGAGGTGACCAGGGCAGCTAACTTGAGCAGGCAAGGTCTGCATATTCACAAAGAAGAGTAGGTGGGAGGAGGGGCTACTTGCAAAGGACTGTGTTGGGTGGAGAGGTGTCAGTGGCCAAGAGGGGCAAACCAAGAGCCTTTAGTATATTAGTGCTGGGGGGTGCTTGGAGCTCTGGGAGATGCCCCCCTCCCCGGAAGGGAGGAAAGCTGCAGAACAAACCCTGGGAGGAAGAAGGAGAACACATCCTCTCTCTTCCTGCTGCTCTCCCGCCAGGGTCTCCCACTGTAGAAGCCAGAAGTTGCTGAAACTTGGCACAGTGGTGCTTCGGATAAGACTCCCTCTGCAGAAGGTTGCTAGCTGTTACATTGGAACCATGGGGTCAACACAGCCCTTGTTGAAAAATAATTATACAGGCCTATAATTCACAATACAGCAAAAAGGAAATAAACACTCAAAATCTAACAAGTCCCAGTCATTCAACTGTATTTTCTTACCTGACCTTGAGGTTCTGTGTGGATACTGTCTGTTGTAATTTAAAAAGAAAGAAAGATGACATGAAACAGAGATCACATGGGGGGATCTTTTATTAGGGGAAAGGGAATGGGAAAGGAGGAGGAGGGGTAGACTGGCCTCTGGAGACAGGAGCAGCAGAAGAGAAAAGAGGGGGTGGGGACAGAGAGACAAGATAGACAGAGAAATGGGAGGGGAAGAAAGGAACTGACAGAGACAGAGAGCGATGGGAGGTATGTAGGGAACTTCTAAAAGGGAACTAGTGAATGTGCACAGATGGTACTCTTAGTGGCTGCAGCTGAGGGAATATCCCATCAGGCCCCAAGGGCAGGCAAGTACAGATGCCTGAATACAAACACTGTCCATGAACATCATGCCAAGGTGTTGAATATGTGCACTATAGAAACCAGTGATTTGTTATCGTTGGCTGGGACTTTGCTTTGTGGGTTGTCTAGCCTCAGGAAAGCCTGCTTAGTGTTCATCTGTTAAGAGACTTAGCAGTGTGTTATGTTGTAGCTATTGAATTGAGAATGGCATAAAACACTGAAGAACTTCCTCCCCAGTGTTTCAAAACTATTATCCAAGTCAGCAAAGCCATTCGGAATGGAGAATCTTCACTATTCTGCCTTTGATAAACAAAAATATTAACAAGAATTCGTACCTTGCTTTATCTACTCATCAATTGCAACCTGAATACTAAGTCTTCAAAAACATGAACACTGTGAATATTCTTTAAGAATCAACTGATGCTATGAAGTCTATGATAAGGAGTATTGACTATTTTGTTATTGCTTATAACAGTCAAAGCTGTCTCAATGCTGCTACAATATAAAGAGCTATGCACTTTAATTAATGTTTTACTAGAAAAAATCTGTGGTTCTTTATTTTTTATTTTCATTAGCTAGAGGAGGTAATCTAAGTTGTGCAAATATAGGTATATATTAGAAAATTGATTCATATATGTATGTAAATGAGTATATATTTTTTTATTTAACCATGGAATTAAATTTTTTCTAGTTTGAATGAAAAAAAGGACGTCTTTTCTTAGTCACTGTTCTATTGCTTTGAAGAGACACCATACCATACTAACTCATAAAAAGAAAAGCATCTAGAGGGTTTGCTTACAGTTTCAGAGGCTTAGGCCATTGTCATGAAGGGGAGCACAGTGGCACACTGACAGCCATGTGCTTGCTGGAGAAGTATCTGAGAGCTTCATCCTGATCCCCATCAGGCTCTGTGTGTGTGTGTGTGTGTGTGTGAGAGAGAGAGAGAGAGAGAGAGAGAGAGAGAGAGAGAGAGAGAGAGGAGAGAGACTGGGCCTGGTTTGGGCTTTTGAAACTTCAAAGTCCACGCCACAATAACTCACGCACACTTCCTAATCCTTCCATAACAACTCATTGATTGGGGACTAAACATAAGCATGCAAATATGTGAGACTATGGAGGCCAATCTCATTAAAACCACCACAGGTCTCTAAATATTTCTTTCTAGAATTGCCCTAATATAAAACAGAATCTTTCCACTGTGTTAAAAAAAAAAAAAAAAGGTATTTCTTGTGGTGGTGGCACACACTATTAATCCCAGCGCTCAGAAGGGAGAGGTAGGTGGATCTCTGAGTTCAAGGCCACCCTGGTCTCCAGAGTGAGTTCAACAAGAGCAAGAGAGAAACCCTGTCTTGAAAAAACAAACAAATAAACAAAGTATCACTTGGATGTTTTTTGTTGGTGACCTTGGGGACTAAACTGGAAATTCTCTCTCTCTCTCTCTCTCTCTCTCTCTCTCTCTCTCTCTGTGTGTGTGTGTGTGTGTGTGTGTGTGTGTGTGTGCGCGCGCGCGCAATGTGTGCATATGATGGGTTTCCCCTTCCCTGGCCATGCCCACTTTTATTTCTCAGGCTGGCCTTGAACTCACCATGTAGACCCAGCCCTCCAGTTTGCAGTCTTCCCACCAAGCTCTGCTAAAGACAATGTTTTGTTATTGTTGTTTTGTTTTATTTTTGTTTCTTGGTTTTTCGAGATAGGTTTTCCCTGTGTAGTTTTGAAGCCTATCCTGGAACTAGCTCTTATAGATCAGGCTGGTCTTGAACTCATAGAGATCCACCTGCCTCTGCCTTCTGAGTGCTGGGATTAAAGGCGTGAGCCACCACCACCTGGCTGTTACTGTTGTTTTTAACTACAGTCTTTGGCAGGCAAACACCCCAGGAACCATCTGTCCAGTCTGTTGTCCATTTTAATGGGAAGAGATGAGAGTACTGGCACAGAATTGGAGGAAAACAGGCTTCAGTGAAAACTGCAAGTTGTGAAGAACTACCAGCAGGGAGCGCTCTAGAATGGAGAGTCAAGAAGGTTCCTGGATGACTTTGCCAAACAATCCCCTCCATG